AAGGGGTCTAAGTTCTTATCTACACTTAGGAATCCTGGTTTAAGCTTCTCTTTGTCTGTAGGGGATAGAGTGGGGGATTTTACTGAGGTATCACAAGGTCACTATTTATGATAGCCTGGACTTTGTGGTGATGCAGCTGTTTGGGGAGTCACCCATCCTCTTATGAACAACCCCTCACCCATGTTCTGTGAGAAAGCCCAATAAATCCATGGCTCTCACCAAGTTGAGCTTTGATGAAATCATACCTTAGTCTGTGGTTGCCCTTTTGCCTTTTCTTCTTCTGAGTAAATGTCACTTCAATACTAGTGCACATTTATTGTATGAAAATTGGTGCTTCATTATGGCATTTCATAAGTTATATGATACACTTTGGTCCTCTCTACCCTCTCCATTAGCTACACAAAGGAACTCTTGTAGAAATGAAAACTTATAATGTATTAGTCACAGCTCCTGGGGCAGAGGATAAGTGGCATCTTCAGAAAAACAAAGAACAAATGCTCAACTCTTAGGCAGGGACCCATCCAATCCCTGACCTCAGCTCCTATCCTAATTGTGTCCTCCTTCCCTTCACCTGAAGTTATCTGTCCTTTCTTTTCCTCTCTAGATGTACAAATATTCTTTAAAATCAAAATAATTCCTGGAGATCTTCTCTGCTTTCATGCCTGTAAGTCTCATTGGGCGTAAAACAAAACACAATGAAGACTATATTCACAGGAAAGAGTGAAAAGATGTACACAAATTAGAATAGTAATAGAAGTTTCATTCACACATTAAAGGCACAACTTCTCAGTATTACTCTCAGGAATACATCATCATAAAATACAAAATGCTTAGTTCACCCCCCAACACACACACACAAACAGTGAGTGTAAACATAAATGAACACATCTATGAAAAATCTAGCATGGTGACCTGTGGTCAGTTCTCTAAGGCTCAAATTTCATGCTTATAAAATGAGAGTGTTAGAGCAGGTGATCTCAAAGGACCCAACAGCCCCCAAAGCTGTCTCTGTGTTATTAAAACTGCATGAAGAAAACCAACTCAGTGGGATGGCAACTTATGAAATTTTTAGCTTATTCCAGCTAGAGTTTCTTCTTAGCAGATTTTATGTCACAATGGGAACAGATGCTATTTGACTTTATAATTTGGGTTTAATTGATTTACAGGCTCATGGTGCCCTGCAGTGGAATGGCTTCTCTACACAGGAGATAAGTGCTACTCTAGAAGATGTTTCAACTCTCTGAGATGAAATTATGTTTATCATTCCTGCTGAAATTGCTATTGCCTTTATGACTTTCCAACTCCTGCTTGCCTTGGCCTGCTTGCTTCTGCTCACTGCCCTTTCTCTTGTCTTGCCCATTCCCAGAGGTTCTATCAATCCCATTTACAAAATAAAAGGCTGTGTTTCTCCACACCCTTTCCAGAGCTCCTGATGCATGTCTAGTCTTTTATGACAAATGAAGAGTGTAGAATCAGCAGTCCAAAATGGAACTCACTTTGTCTCCATTTATACGGTTAGTTCACTAATTCCATGATTATTACCCACAGCTTCTCAGTCACTAAGGCTGGAAAAGTTTCATTATGTCATAATACTACCCTTTCCTTTCCCCCTCCCTATTAGCAACAAAGTTCCATAATAGTACAAATGCTCCCAGTACAGGGATTAGATCGTCTAGTTCAAATTCTAGTTCCTCTGCCTCCTGCAGCTGTAAGCTCTTGGGACTCAGCTCCCACTCTGTGAAATGGAGCCAATAGTCTGTCCAGGAGCTTTTTATCATTTAAATTTATAGATCTTTTGTCCATATTAGTTGATAGTTGTAAACAAAATAAAAAGAGATGTTATAATGCTTAAACAGATTATTGACAGATTGTAGATTTTTTTCCAAAATAATTAATCTTGTTTAATTGAATGTAAGTATATTGGCTGGAGATCATACCAATTAATATATATTAAGTTTTCATTTGGTATCAGTGTTTATTTTTCACATCCTCGAAGTCTAATGTTATATTTAAAGGCTTTAAGAAGCCAATTACACACTAAAAGTTTTACAGTTACAGAGTTGTTCTGTGTTTTGACTAGGCATTACCACATTGATTATATTCATAGGGTTTCTCTCCAGTATGTGTTTTTATATACTTGAAGATGACAGGGCTGTGCAAAGGCTTTACCACACTGCTTACATTCATAGGGTTTCTCTCAATTATGTGTTCTTTCATGAAATTGAAAAGCATTGTGATGAGCAAAGGCTTTACAACACTGATTACAATTGTATGGTTTCACTCCAGTATTTGTTCTTTCATGCCTCTGAAAATGTCTGTGATAAGCAAAAGCTTTACCACACTGATTACATTCATAGGGTTTCTCTCCAGTATGTGTTCTTTCATGCAATTGAAGATTATAGTGATGAGCAAAGGCTTTACAACACCAATCACATTGATAGGGTTTTTTCTCCAGTATGTGTTCTTTCGTGCCTTTGAAGATCACTATGATGAGCAAAAGCTTTCCCATACTCATTACATTCATAGGGTTTTGCTCCCATGTGTGTTCTTTCATGCCCTTGAAGATGACTATGACAAGAAAAGGCTTTCCCACACTTATTACATTCATAGGGTTTCTCTCCAGTATGTGTTCTTTTATGTACTTGAAGATGAGTGGGGTGTGCAAAGGCTTTACCATATTGATTACATTCATAGGGTTGCCCTCCAGTATGTGTTCTTTTATACCTTGGAGGATGACTGTGATGTACAAAGGCTTGACCACACTGAGTGTGTTCAGATGATTTCTCTGCAGTATGACTTCTTTCATGCCTTCCATGTTTTTGAGAACTTTGACAATGTTCTTCAACTTCAACATCTTCCCAATTGTAGTTTATAGCAATGAGGTTCATATAGGTCTCCAGCACCACATCTTTGTAGAGATTCCTCTGTGAAGGATTCATCAATGCCCACTCTTCCTGAGTGATGTTGACATGCACATCATTATAGTTCACTGCATTCTTGTCATGGTTTCCTAGGTCAGCCATGCTCTCTGCTCAACTCTCTGCAGCAGGGCTCACAGCACAGCACACAAAGCCAATAGCACCAGCTCCTCTTGAAATTGAAGTCTGAAACCTATCCCGTTGTTGCTGTCTTAATGCCCTCCTTATCATAGCAGAGTCTCTCATTCTATTTCCCACTAAACAGGGTTGCACTTCTGGTTTTCTACTGAGAGAATATTCTGTAGTCTAGCATTCCAGAATCCCCCCTGTGTGGTTTAAATGTCATTTCTAAATCTATTTCCTATTGCCTTTTATTGCCTATAATTTCAGTGCAATCAGTTTTAAAACGTTTGCATTCTTCCCATTGTACTGTATAGCTTGTCCATACTCTTGACTTAATCTCTCATGGTTTTTCTGCGGCTGTCTTCAGAGCCGTAGTCTACTCATTCCATAGAATCCCTGCATAATAATTAAGGTTCTATAACCCATCACTGTTCAGGAGTTTTTCTTCCACTCCTCTCACTGCTGATAACTGTTAACTTCTTGTATGGTATTCATTTCTCCCCACTATTAAGTTGGTTGTATATCTAATCCATCTCCCATGTTTAATTGCAAATGTCTTCAGCAAGGAAATCTTTTGGGTTTGCACATGCACACTACAAAGAATATCAATGTGAGTAAGCAATATTTTTTAAAAAATGAATGAAGGAAATAAAGATGGAAATACATTTTGAAGACAAATAAATGTATAACAGAATTGTGTTAACAGAAATGTATTAACAGAATTGTGTACTGTATGTTAAAAAAGTTTAAAATATTTTTTTTCAAAGAAGGAAAACATCTAAGTAAATATGAATGAAAGAAACCACACTGTAAAGGGGAATGCTGATGGAGTGAGACCAAGGACAAGACAGCAAAGGTCACACCGAGTGGTGCAAAGAGGAATTCAGCTTTCCCTCTGCCATTCATCTGTCTTTTCACTTTCAGAACTTACATATGTGTACAATTTTACCATATCAAGTTATTCCTTGAATTCAACCATTGGGCACTCCAGTTATATGTGAATAGTACTAGAAAGTCCCATTGCATGCTACAGCAGAGTTCTCAAGTATTTTTTTATAATGTGTATTGTCTCATTTTTAATCTTTGCAATAATACAGCTTTCTGATACAAAGCTTGTATTTGTGGTATTTTCTTTTTCTCTATTTGACCAGGGATTTGATGTTAAAATGATTAAATTCTCTAGTTACTTGACAATATATGTAAAGTCTGAGGCTCAGGTCCAGTTATGACTTATGTCTACTCCTATGAGGTAGTTACCTATTCAAATTCAGCAAAACAAAAAGATAGAGGTACATATTGTTGTCCTAAAAACAAACTCCTATTCTGACTACTGCTGTATTTAAACAATATAGCAACTTCAATTTGCCAAACTGCCATCAGCATTCTGCATGTGATATACATGACAAGGAAAGAGGGTGCTTCTAGAGATTCTTCCCCAGCTCAATACTTCAGAATACACACTGCAGACCTGCTCTAAAGAGTTTTGTTGTTCCTCTGTAGCTTGCTTACTTCCTCCCTGAAGTCTATTTTCTCTGGATGACTTGAGTCCTGAAGACAGAGGTACAACCAAGACTATAAATATTTATGTTAAAACCTCTGTGAATTTTGGATACGCAAAAATTGCTTAAAATGAAAGAAACATTGTTTCCCTCTACATTGCTTCATTGAACATCAGAACTGTAATTTAGTCATCTTTGAAAGACATTGTTAGAAAAATGAAAACACTAGCAAAAACAAGACCAAAATATTTTTAAAACGTGTGATAAATTTTATAAGACAATTCCATTTAACATAAATGTTATCCTGATGTAAATAAAATATTTAATCAGATACATCAACAAAGAAGATCTGGAATTTATACACACAAATAAGTATGTATAAAAAGACCATGTAATGTGCAACTGAAGTCCAAAGTAAATTTTTTAATGTTCCCAAACAAATGTCAACCTAGTTGGGGGCATGAAGGATTTTTAGGAACACAATGGAATGTTATTCAGCATGTACAAAGGAATAGCATAGGGATAAAAATAACTACTTGAATACACTCCAAAATCATTTTTAATTGTATAAAAAGAGAGATTGAAAAAGTATTTTATGCTCTGTTTACATGATTGTGGGGTTTTTGTTCCCTCTCATGGGTGGCTCAGTGGGGGAGTGGGGAGCCAAAGTCACAGTGAGTTTTCCTGGAAGCACACTCTGGAAACCAGCATGGAGATGCAGATCTGGTTTAATATGTATGTTCACTGGCTTATATGCACACATACATTACCCAATCAGCTAAGGTTCTATCAAGTTACTGTCCAATGATTCCAAATGACACACAATCCATGTTATGTGGAGGGTGTACAGCAGGGAGGCAGTATGTCCAGGCAGTATGTCTGCAGACAAAGGGTAGGAAGCAGTGAACATCCTGGACTTGGGCACAAATTAGAGTGTCTCCAGTTAGCTGGGACTCATAATGGAGTTCTGGTCTGGTGTTCCAGAGGCTCAGGTCTGCTCACACAGCTGCTGGAGGTGTTGGTACTTCTTGTGTTCCCTGTCTCAGAAGACTCCACTTAATGATGCTGGTCTCTTCTGTGTTTCTTGGAACTGAAAGCCAAAATGAACCCTCAGTTCTTCAAGTTGCTTTTGTCACAGCAATGTGACAAGTAACCTCATTGATTAACTGCTTATGTAATCAGGAACTTTGGACAAGGTTGTATTACCTACCTTCACCTTTTTGTCCTTATTTCCAAGGGAATTTAATAATAATCCCTACCTTTTTTACTACTAAATGTATGCCATCCATTAATATTTGCTGAGGTCAAAATGGTCAGGTCAGTGCCTGCTCTAATATATCTTCTCAAAGTTAGTCACTTTATCGTTCACACTGAGAACTCTCAAAGGGTTTCCTTAGTAACCCCTTTCCAAGCCTGTTGTCTAGTATCACGACACACAGGCTGAGTACACGGTAAACAGTATTGAAAGAGGGTTCCTGTTAGTAACTGAGGATTTCTAAATAGATCAGAATTTCAGAAATGCTTTCATACTATGAAATGTTCTAAACAGATCTTCCCTAGCTACCAGTTTGAGTCACGTAAGAAGAAAAGGATCATGTAAAAGCTTCAAACCTGAAGCAGTGCTATCCAAATGGTGTGCCCTCTTCACTGTCTTAAACACAGGGACTCTACCTTGAAAATAGTGATTCAGCCAGGCAGTGGTGGCTCACGCCTTTGATCCCAGCACTCAGGAGGCAGAGGCAGGTGGATCTCTGTGAGTTCAAGGCCAGCCTGGTCTACAGAGTGAGTTCCAGGAGAGGCTGCAAAGCTACACAGAGAAACCCTGTCTCAAAAAAACAAAACGAAAAGATAGTGATTTATTGAAACCATGTATTTGAACTTCATGTGGTACAGGGGATGGGGGGAGCAGAAACAAAGATTAAGCCTAGCTCAAGGATCACAACAGGAGAAAGTATTTGGAGAAATTACCAGCTAACATTCTTCTAATAGTTATAAGGACATTTTTGTTCCTAAACATCAAATTAATTTTCTATTAAGAGCAAAGAAAAATGTTTCTTTTTACCTCCTCACATTATGTTCACTGACATAATAATTTGAAAAGCATGAAGAGAAGCAATTATTTAATCACTGAAATTGTGCTAGAAAATGAAAATTTTATTGCATTAATGTGGCTAGGATTGTTCAAACATGTTGCCTTGAAACTGTGACTGCTGTGGATAGCTGTCTCCCTGTATTTAAACTGTAGGTCCTTGCCACGCTGACAGTGCTGCTGGCACGACGGTACACATCCAGATCTAAAAGCCCCTCAAGGTCATCGTAACTAAAGCCTGACCCGTTTTATCTGTAGCCCTTGCTCTGGGGAAGAACTTCACAAACCACTGCGTTTGTCTTGTTTGTATTTAACAGCTGGTAGAAGATCAGGAAAAATAAATGTAGCTTGGTTCTTATTTTTACAACTTGTAATTGAAATTATCTTAATGATCTCTTCAGTACTCTTTTGGTAACTTATTTTATAATAAACCAATGCCATTGTCCATGAATTGTTTTATAGAACCCTTTTCAAATGGTTTATTTTGGTAAAATAAAACTTAAGATATTATCTAGAATTAAAGTGGCTCTAGAATTTTGGTCCTTTAAAAGTTCCTTTAAAAGGGAAACTCTATATCTGTCTATGCTCTATCTATCAACTGTTTATCTACTTGTCTATCATCTATCTATCATCATCATCTATTAGTCTTTCAATCAATAAATCTCCATATTTTCTCCCATAAACGAAGAAACTATACATTAAAATTTTTTTTGAGAAAAGATAAAAATAATGGAATAATGTTGTCAATAGTGAATTGTGATTGCCAGGTTCTCTAAAATTGGAAGTGAATGTGGGTAGAGATAAGAAGTGATAAAGAAGTAGCAATCCATTTCCTCTTCCAGATTTCACAAATCTCCCTTTCTTGTTGCATAGTTGCAAACACATTCGGTGTCCATCCTTCCTTCTCCCCTCTTCTGAAACCTCATTCGCATACTTAGCGCTTGACAACTGTAACAATTTTCAGAACACATGTAAAGTCATGGTCATGCCTTTCAAACATGAATGATAAACAGCACAGGTGTCTCTGGTGCAGGCCACTGACTCTAAAACAGTGTACATCTTGTTTAATTTATGTAAGACTTCTGTGTGGTAAATTCAACCTTTGTTAAACTTGTTTTAAACTGGTGGTAGGACATATGTTAAAGGATTCATAAAGGTATGTTGTTTAGAGTACTTTTCTTTCTTTCTTTGACTACATTTTTTTCTGCTCAAAATATTTTTAAATTAAAGATTTGTCCTTTGTATTTTGAGTTATTTTGGTTATGGTGGTGCTTATGTTTGGTGGATGTTTTAAGTTCTCAAAAGTTTTGTTGTTTCTGAGTCAGAGTCCTACATAGCCCAGACTGGATTCAAACTCACCATTAACATGAGAATGACCTTGAACTCTTGATCCTCCATCCTCCAATTCTCAAGAGCTAAGATAAGAGGAA